ATTTATAAACAAACTATTCACACTTCTGTTCCATTTATCTTATTCACAAGGCCATTGTGAGAAAATACATCCAACCAAAAGTTTAGGACCGGGCTTGGTGGCGCATGCCTGTGATCACAGCACCCGGGAGGCTGAGACAGGAGGATCATTGCAGGTTCGAGACCAGCCTGGGCTACAAAGTGAGCTCAAGGCCAGCCTGAACTGCAGAGCGAGACCCTGTCTCAAAAAAAGACAAAAAACAAAAAACAAAACAATCAAATTTTATTATAGGGCTGGGGATTTAGGTCAGTGGCACAGTGCCTGCCTGGCAAGCACAAGGTTGTGAGTTCAATTCCTGGTACCAGAAGAAAAACAACAAAAACAAACAAAAAAAATATAAAAAATTTATCATAAATAATTATTTGTCCTTTATGAATAATACTTCTATTTCATAGTATTGTGGAAACAATCTTTCAATAATCCATTGTAGAATCTTGTCCAAGAAGCATAGTAAGCCAGGCATGGTGGCGCACACTTGTAATCCCAGTACTTGGGAGGCTGAGGCAGGAGGATCATTGTGAGTTTGAGACCAGCCTGGGCTGGGGCAGGATGATTGGGAGTTCAAGGGTAGCCTGGGCAAAATAAGAAGTTCATGGCCACCTTGGACTCTAGAACAAGGCCCTGCCTCAAACCAAACAGAACAAAACAGAAATGCATTAACTCTCAAGGTGATTTTAATATAGGACGTGTCATGGATATAACATATGAAGGTCATGGATATACCATATGAAGCTAAAATATATTAATACTAGACTTTAAAAATAATGGCAATAAATCAAAACATAATTTTTTAGTGCCGGGCATGGTGAAGTCACAGCAATCTTCCTGGGCTCCATAAGTGAGTTCAAGGCCAGCCTGCACTATATAGCAAGACCCTGTCTCAAAAAAAACCAAAACACCAACCACAAATAACCATCATTTTGTACCCCTGTGTACACTTAAATTGTCATGAGGCCAGCTTCAGATAGTTTAGAGGTGGCCTGGAAGGGCTGGCACGGCTCCACTAAAAAGTCAGTGACTCCTGCACTCAACAGGGATGGGGGCACTGTCAGCCCAAGAGATAGCAGGATCACCAACGGTCCACTTTCAGTCTTTGGATACCTAGTCTGAGTGTCTTTTCCCAGATCCTCAGTTTATGCTGGACACTGACACAGAGCAGGGATCCCTTCGGAGTCCACCTGTTCCTCAAGTACCTGCTCTTCCCCACAATGGAAGCCCAGGAGGCCAGGCAGCTGTACTCCTGACAGCCTTCAACCAGGATTTCCTATTTCCAACCCTATTGGGATCTCCTAGCTGGAACAAGATCCAGGTCTTTGATCTGGAAACTAAGAATAGAGAAGTCTCAAGAAGTGAATGCTCAGATGGAGAAACCAGAGAAGAGAACAAGCTGTTGATCCCTAAGCAGAAAATTTCGGGAGAAGTACATTCATACAAAGTGAGAGTAGGAAGTTTCAAACAGGATATTGCCCAAGTTCCTGAGACCACAGATGCGTGTGAGTCTGCACACAGATTAAAAAGGCTTCAGGGAAAAAAAAGGCTTCAGGAAATCCTAAGGAAATTTCTTTTCCTGGAGAGAGTTTAAGCACATAACAGTCAGCAGGAAAACTTTCACCAGTGAGACTAGTGAGTGTGTAATGAACCTGAAAAATGCTTCAGTCTGGACTCTACCCTTGATACAGATCACAGAGTTGTTAGAATGCAGAATATTCATTACAATAAGTATGACAGGAACTTCACCCAGAACTCAGCTGCTGGTAAACATAAACACATAAATCTACAACAGAATTTTCAGAGTAGTGAGGAAAGAGCCCGCCCTTGCTGGAGGCCTCACCATTACTGTCTCCCTTGAACCCTACTTCCCGACAAAAAAAGCCTAATGGATCTCTCTCACTTTAGTAAATGGGTGAGCATTTCTACCATTAAGAAATCCTATAAACGTGATACATGAGAAAAAATCCTCCATCAGAGCTCAGCCCCTACAAGGTGTCAGAGAATTCGTAACAGAAAGAAACCTTAAAATGTAAAGAATATGAAAAATATTCAGTCAGAGGTTATCTTAGTTGATATAAAAGAATACACACTAGAGAAAAACCCTGTAAATGTAAAGCATCTGATAAATCTTGTGAAACATCTGATAAATCCTGTAGTCAATTTCAGATGTAATTTAATTAAGAAGCTTCACACCAAAGCCAATTTCTTTTTTTATTGTTTTTATCTTTTTGAGGCAGGTTCTCCTTATGCAGTTCAGGCTGGCCTTGAACTCACTTTGTAGCCCAGGCTTGTCTCGAACTCACAAGGATCCTCCTGCCTCAGCCTCCAGAGTGCTGGGATTACAAGCGTGCGCCACCACACCTGGTGGTGCCAATTTCTTTTTTAAAACAGGGTCTCGCTATGTTGTTCACACTGGCCTTGAACTCCTCCTGCCTCAGCCTCCCCAGTATTGGGATTACAGATGTGCACCACCTTGACTGGCAAAAGTAGAACAATTTGAACCACAAAATAAAATACTTGAATTACAGAAGAAACATCTGGAGTTCCTAATGTTTGAATAAATGGGGGAGAAGGAAAATCAGTACAGAATTCCAAATATTCTTATTTAGATTCTCTGCTCTCAAGCAGGTGGAGAGTGACATTTCCTTCCTTTCATGCTTCTGTGCTCATCTGGAGTCTTCTCCCAAGATTCTGAGAATTCCTGGAAGAGTTTTATTCTCAGGGCCACGCGGGTCCCAGATGTCTTCCATGTGAGCTTCTTCCTGCCCCTCCTTAGTCACCCAGTCTTGAAATGTGGCCCCCACTTGCCTGAAGCACTCAAGAGCTAAGCAGGCTGAAGAGGGAGAAAGGGTTTTCTATACAAAGACCTATGAATGGAATGTCACTTTCAAACATCCAGCACCCATAGTTAAGAAAACCTTTTCTTAGCTAGGCATGGTGGTGGACACCTGTAATCCCAGCACTCGGGAGGCTGAGGCAGGAAGATTGTTTTGAGTTCGAGGCCAGCCTGAGCTACAAAGTGAGCTTAAGGCCTGAACTGCATAACAAGACCCGGTCTCAAAAAAGAAAGCCTTTTCCTGGCCTGCTCACCATCCCTGCCCACAGCCCCAGCTACTTTTCATTTTATCTCTTTGGTCTCTCCTGTTGATTTTGTCTCTCCTTTCCCCATTCCTCGAACACCTTGCTTCACAGGAGCAAATCTCCCAGAGATCTACATAGAGCAGATCTCTGAATGAGCTCCTTGGATTATCCAAGAATTTCCCCAAAGAAAATGGCTTATGGAAATACTTTCCTTTAGGCGTAAAGGCCCTGGAGGAGCTTAAGTAAAGAAATTCTGTGGTTGGCGACAAATGACAAGACTCTGAGGGCAATGTGCTCGCTTCCAGATAATCATTCTGGGGAGCACGGCAAGCAAGCCTGCAAATGCGGTAGGTGCACATTTCACACAATTTTAGGGCTGAAGGGGACTCCACAGGTTACTCAGTCCTTCAGGTGAAGAGAGTGGATCATATCTTCTACGTCCTACAAACTCTACTTGCTTGTAGAAAATAATTTTCAACCAAATGCTCTTCAAAGGTAATCTTCTCTTTTCATAGTAGGGCTTGAGTCCAGGACTACCTTCGCTGTACCACCGAGCTACACATCCAGTGGAAATGTAATCATTTTTTCCTTGCCTTTCGATCTTTAATTACTCAAAAAAAAAAAACTTCAGTATTTAAATTTAACTTTCGGACTTTGTCCTTGAGCCTTCAACACTTTATAGTGATTTTCTTCTCCACAGTAAGGAAAACAGCCAGGTGTGCTGGTGCACACCTGTAATTCCAGCACTTGGGAGACTGAGGCAGGAGGATTGCTGCAAGTTGGAGTCCAGCCTGGACTACATAGTGAGTTCAAGCCCAGCCTGAAGTACATTTAAAAAAAAAAAGTAATATACACTTGATCCTGTCGGGGGTGCATTTAGCACACATGGAACCACCATAGACCCTGCTGAGATGTTTCGTCATTTAGACAATCTCCTAAGAACGTTAGGTCCTGCAGTCCGAACTTCTCAGTCTGCCACATGCAGATTTTGATGCTTTCCTATAAAGGTAAACAACTCTATCACCAGGGGCTTGGCACAACCTAGTTAAGAGCTTGCTTTGTAGGAAAGTCTATGATGATATGTGAAACTCTGGACCATTCTGACATTGAGTGCCTTTTAACAAAGGTCATTGCTTTTTTTTTTTTTTTTTTTGTCTTTTTGAGACAGGGTTTCACTATGTAGTTCAGGCTGGCCTCGAATTCACAGCGATCCTCTTGCCTCAGCCTCCTGAGTGCTGGGATTACAGTTGTGAGTCGCTATGCCTGGCAAACATAATCTTTCAGCACAGGTTTTCACATTTTGGGGCAGGGGATATAGCTCAGAGGCATAGCACCTTCCTGGCAATCGCAAGGCCCTGGGTTCAACAACCAGTACCGAAAACAAAACAAAACAAACAAAAAAACCAAACACATTTGAACTTTACTATAGCCAGTAATTAATATATCACCAGAAAACTAGTCTGGGCAAGGGGCTGGAGGATGAGGCAGGAGGGTCACAAATTCAAGGTCAGCCTGGGCAATTTAGTGACACCCTGTCTCAAAATAAAAGGGTTGGAAAAAATAAAATAAATAAGTGGGCTGGAGACTTAGTTTTTGCCTTAGTTTTTGGAGTGTTTGCCTAGCATGTGCAGACTATACCCTGTACCCTAAATCCTCAGTACCACCACACACACACACCAAAGAAAGTAGCTATTTTTAATTTCCATACTCTCTAGCAGAAAAAAAGACAAAAAGAGATAGCTGGAAATACCGACTGTACATACTTTCTAAAAGCAAAACTGATCAAGATGTTTGTATTTACAAAAGGTGGACAGCACTTTCAAGCATCACAAACCCAATGGTACCATCCCAGACTTCCAGCAATTCAATTTAACAAGAAAGAAAATCACCGCTTGCTTCAGCGTTATCCCAATCAAGGCAATAATGACCTGCTGTACGGATCGGCTGACAGATTTCAACTCTGCTAGTCCTGATGTATTATTTGGCTGATTCAGAAAATACATATCCTATAAGCTCACGGACATACTCGGGGAAAGAGTGCTAAGCAGGAATACGAGTTTTTAAAAAAATCTACACAGCTCGAGCCCCGATGTCCACAGCCAGGTTTCAGAGCGTAGCTCAGCGCTCGTCCTCCCGAGGCTGGAGCTGCTCCGGACGCGAATCCGCTCTCTCCAGCCAGAGAAAGCTCAGCGGAAAAGAGAACGGTAGCATTCACGGAGTAGACTTGGGCGGCGGACAACCTCCTGCCACCAACGCGAGCGAGTCAAGCGGGAAGCGGCAGGCGGGAGCAACGTGTGGCGACGCTCCCCTACGCTCGGTGCAGCGGGGACCGGCCGGGCAGAGGTGGCAGGCTGCGCGCTAACTCCCCGCGGCCGGGCGGCCAGAAGCCCCCAGTCCTCGGCCCCCGCGCAAGCGACGCCGGGAAATGCCCACATCCGGGAAACCTGCAGCGGAGTGCGGCGGCGGCGACGCGGAGTGGAAGGCAAAATGGCGGCGGCGGCGGTGGCCTGGTGCTAAGGGGAGAGCCAGGTCCCCGCGACCCCTGCAACGGGTCGCGCCGGCCCGCGGCAGCCCCCTGGCGTCTCTGCCCGTCCTGCCCCACCCAGCATACTTGGGGCCTCGGGGACGGGCCCCGGTCGCCTTGGCGCCGGCCCTCGGCCCGTGGCCGCTGTCCAGAAGCCCCGCTGTCCGCTGCAGGTAGGTCCGGGGCTGGTGTGGCGGGTGGGGCTCACTCCGTGCTCCAGAGCCCGCGCCGTCGGGGCGGTGGCCGCCGGGGCCCACGCCCATCCCCGCTGGCGGGGGTCCAGGGGCTGCCGCGGACGGGCGGGCTGAGCCGGCCGGGTCCGGGCCTGCCTTGCCTGGCTGCATTGACCTGAGCTGAGCCCTGCCCTGGGGAAACGAGGGTTGGCCGCACCCTTGCTGCAGGAAGGGCCCCAGGCCTTTCGGCGCTGGAGGTGCAGGTTCGGTTGCCGCGAGCCCGCCCTCGCTGGGGGCCTCGCCGCTGCTGTCTCCCTCGACCCCTACTTCCCGACCAGTCCGGAGGGGAGCAAAGGGAAAGGGAATTCTGAAGGAAAGTGGCGAGCTCCTTTTCGATCGCGGAGAGCTCCGATCCTGGGTATACCTTGAAGAAACCTGGGAGGCTCTTTTTCCAGTTGTAATGTTAGGTCACTGTTCATAGGTGGAAGTGGTGAGAGATGGAGGTGGGTGTCTTTGTGGAATAGGAGTGTGTACATAAACACAGCTCATAGTGGAAAGAATGACTCCCAGGTGACTTTATCCCCACGCTGACTTCTCTAATTGAAAGTTATTTTCTAAAGGGACAAAGTTTAATATTTGTCCACTTATATGTAAGTATGACTTTTAAAGCTGCTATTAACGTTTAGAGGTTATTCATTTAGTGAACAGTCTCTCCCACTCAAAAAAATATTGTATCACTCCACTTCTGGAAATGGGTTTGAATGCCTGGGATGATGAGGCGTGTCAGATGCACCTACATTTATTTATTGAAGATTAAAAAATTTTTTTTATCAGTTTTCCTCCGTGAGGAGGAAAAGGCAAGACATTATGGTTGGAGTGAATGTTCCGGTTAACCACTTACATTTGCGATTGCCTTGACTAAGGTTTTCTCTTACCTTTTGATGTGTAGACAGATAGGTAAAATGGGCTAGTTGATTCCTTAAAGCAGTGGAGGAGTTTGACTGATGTTGAAGTAAAAAAAGTACCATTGTGTCTTTCTGCTAGTCTGTTACTGCAAGAAAGTAGATCATAGCACATGCTGGAAAGTGCACAATCTTTCTGTCTTGGATTGAATATGCCTGCTGCTCTCTAAGTAATTAAAAAGTACTTCTTTTATCTTTATTATGATATCCAGCTTTCATTCTGTAAGTTTTAATGTTAGTCATTAATTCTTTTATACATATGGTCTTAGAACAGTTCTGCTCTGGGTTATCTTTTTCTGCATTATAAAATGTATCATATTATGGATATGATACATTCATTGGTGACTTTCAAGCACTACCCAAATTATTGAATCATTGAACATTATCAAGTAGAAATGCTAGGCATATTGGCCCATACCTATAATCCCAGCACTGGGGAGGCTGAGGCAGGAGGTTCTTGGCAGTTTCGGCCACATAACAGAGTTCAAGGCCACCCTAAACGATATAGCAGGACCCCATCTCAGAGGAAAAAAGATTTTTTTTCAGCAGGAAGATAAAAATACAATGATGGTTTTTCTCCTCTCTCTTTCCCTCCCTTACTCCTTTCCTTCCTTGTGTGTGTGGTGCTAGTGCTTGAACACAGGAACTTGGCCAAGCACTCTCCCAGTGAACTGCATACTCAACCTTTTTTGTAGGGGCATGGTCTAAGTGCAGGCTGACTTTCAGTTTGTGATCTTTCTGCCTCAGCCTCCTGCATAGCAGGTGGGATTAAAGGAGTCCATCCCCATTCCCAACTCCATGTTTTCACTTGTGGCCAATTAATTCTTAGAAAGTAGATGAAAGAAAATGGCAGGTGCAGAGATTTGTGTTACTCTCTGTGAGACTGTGCTACTAAAAAAGCAGTACAGTGGCACACACCTGTAATCCTAGCACTCGGTAGGCTGAGGCAGGAGAATCGATGCAAATTCGAGGCCAACCTGAACTATAGTGAGACTTTGTCTCAAAAACAAACAAACCCACCTAATATGTATTGTCATTAATATTCTTAACACTGATCTATCTAGTCAAAGGGTTGAGAACAAGCTCCCCTTTTGTGGCAAGTCTCTGGCTGGGCTTGAACATGTGATCTTCCAGTCTGAGCCCTCATAGTGCTGGGATTAGAGGCATTTGCCACCATGCTTGGTTCAGGCCATCTTTTTTTATAAACTCAATTCAACCTGTTTTTTCCTTAATTGTGCAAATAAACAACTTTTATTTTCTTTCACTGTGGTAGGGACTAAATCAAGGGCAATTGCACTACCACTGAGCTACATCTCCAGCCCTGCCATTTGTAGTTTTTGTTTTGTTTTTGTGGTGCTGGGGATCGAACCCAGGGTTTTCTGCATGCAAGGCAAGAATTCTATCACTGAGCCGCATCCCCAGCCCAGGTATTTTTATTTATTTATTTATTTATTTATTTTTGGTTTTTCTCCGGTACCAGGAACCGAACTCACAACCTTGCGCTTGCCAGGCAAGCGCTTTGGCCGCTGAGCTAAATCCCCAGCCCCCAGCCCATGTATTTTTGAAGGTCTTAATTTCAGAAAAACTGATGTTTGTCTATTTACTGTAAGCAATTTGTGCCCTTTCAAAATATGAGTGAATCATGATCTCTGCCCTTAGGAGGCTAAAGATGTAGGGGTGATAAAAAAGGACCCTGGACTGGGTTAGGATGTGAAGTCCATTCCTAGCATTACCATCAGCTGACAGTGTGATCTTATAGAAGTCATATTACTTCTCTGGATCCATTTTCTTGTCTGTTAAAAAAATCTCCAGGACATCTTACCGATCTGTGGATCTGGGACCTAGGAGGAAAAATAAAAACATAAATAGGACAAAAGTGTAAGTTTTATTGGAATTGTCCAAAGTGCATGTGGTGTTCAGAAAAGGCTAACAGCTGGGAGTTTAGTGTCAGTTCCTGTTAAAGGAGACATTTGAATGGAGGTTTGGTATAATTTTATTTTTCTTTTTGTTACCGGGAATTGAACTCAGAAGCTCACACTTGCTAGGCAGGTGCTGTGCTGATGAGCTATATCCCCAGCCTGGTGTAATTTCTATAAGAAAGAGCTCTCCCAGAAAGAATAAACAGGATGACTGAGGACAGGAAAATAGAAAAGCACAATGTATGTTAGCAGAGATCCTGTAATTTGGTTTGGTTAGAGTATAAGGTACAAGTATGGAGATAGTTGGGAAGTATGGGTCAGAGATAAGATAATAACTAACATATGAGTCAGGTACATTTTCTAAACACTTAACTTTTTTTTTTCCTTCAATTTTATTTTGTTTGTTTTTCAAGACAGGGTCTCACTGAGTTGCACAGGCTGGACTGGAACTGGTGACCTTCCTGTCTCAGCCTCCCAGAGTGCTGGGATTGTAGGTGTGCATGACCATACCCATCCTGACATGTATTAAACCTGTTTAATGCTTACAACAAGCTTATGCAAGATAGAACCTATTTCTGCCCGCATTTGAAGATGAAATTAAGGCACAGAGGCTAAACAGCTTGCCCAAGATCACAAAGCTAGTAAGTGGTAGAGTGGGGAGTCATACTTGGGCAATTGAAAAGAAAGGGAAGTGATATGATTAGAACTATTCATTAGGAAAACTAATTTGACACCATTGTACCATGGGTTAAACAAGTAAGCATTTTTGCTTTGAAGAGTTCTTTTATTCCTTTATTTTTGAGATGGAGTCTTACTTTATTGCCCAGGTTGGCCTCCGGCTTGAGATTTTCTTTTCAGAGCCCCCCCAGTAGCTGAGATTGCAGGTGTGGAGCATTGCCCTTGACTTCCTTGAAAAATTCTTTTTAAAAATTCTCTTTCCCTATTGTTAATTTGAATTTTCACCTGTCATAGTAATAAAGATTAGGTAAATCTGTGTTTACCATACTTTGTTGAAGAGATTGTAAATTAGTATACTTTTCTGAAAGACAGTCTGAAAATACTATAATTTTAAATATTTATTCTCTCATAGTTATGTATATTTTTGTTTTGTTTTACAGTGCTGGGGATTAAATCCAGGGCCTGGAGTATGCTAAGCAAGGACTCTACAGTTGAGCTATATCCCTTGCCCTGTGCATTCTCTTTGATATGGCAGTTCTACTTCTGGGATTTATCTTAAGGAAGGCTCAACAATGTATACATAAGAATTTTTATTGCAGCATATTTTTATTAACTAACTTTGATATGGCTAAGGAATGTGCCATATACATGTAAGCTATAAAGTGTAAGAAAATGAATATGAAATCTGTACCCATGCTCAAAACTAGAGTAGTACCAATATAATTGAAAACCAGTGTTTGCAACGTATTTCTATAATAGCAAAAAAAGAGGGTACAATGTAAATTACTATCAGTAAGGGACAAATTATAGAACATCTACAGATGAAATTCAGTATGCAGTTATTTAAAGGGACATGGCTGAACTGTCATTTTCTCAGTTCTCAGACACTATTAAATGTAAGAAAAACCATCTAGTAACAATTGTTTTTAGTTTTTATATTTATTAATGCATGTTTGCAGTGCATAATGATTACATTCATCATGGAGGAATTGGTACATGTATGTAACACAGCTTAATTCTTTTTACTTCCCCTTTCTCCTTCTCTATTCTTGGTCCCTTTCCCACTTGCCAAAGAGCTATCTCCTTGTTTCCTATTATGTATCTCTTATTTTGCTTTTTATTTATACCTTGGGTTTCTCATATATAAGAGAAATGTGACATTTAAGCTTGTGTATCTGATTTATTTCACATTAGAGTATGGCACATCCATTTTCCAGCAAATGATTTAAATTTATCCTCCTTTATAGCAGAGTGGTACTTGATTGTGTATAAGCACAGCACTACATTTTTTTTATCCATTCATCTTTTGATGAACATGTAGGCTACTTCGAAGATTCAGCTATTAGGAATTGTTCTGCTGTAAACACGGGCATGCATGTATCACTATAATATGTTTTTAACTCTTTGGGGAAGATACCTAACAACAGGAATAGCTGGGTCA